TAGGATTTCTGACCTCCAGAAACCGAGATAGCAAATGTGTGCTGTTTTAAGCTGCTAGGTGTGTAGCAATTTGATATGCAATGGTAGAAAATGGATATCAGCGGTTCTAAATCCACATGCTTAAAAATGAGGCAGAGAGAAGGAATATGCTTGAAAAAACCCCGAACGGAATGTTAGTATTTATGACTAAGAAATACTGAGAGGCTACTTTTGCAACATAAAACTAGTCACCTGGATGTGAAAAGTGAACCTCATGGAGCCTGTTCGTTCATTCATGGAAGAATATCGGTTCAGGTCTTACCGCACAGATAGCACTCGGTAGGGTTAATTTTGCAGGGAGAGAGAAACCTTTAGGTGAATAGGTATCTGCATTTTGCTTTTTTTGGTTCCTAAGAAATCCTGAAAGCTTAGAGCTATTAAAGACAAAAGCAGATATACTTTAAAGCAGCGGTCGCCAACCTTTCAGTCCTCACGACCACCGGTGGTCCGCGGACCAACACTTGGTGACCACTGTCCTAAAGTAGAGCTGGATGAGGGATACTTTTAAAGATGCTTCATTTACTGGAGGAACGATATTTTGAGAAACTGAGAGTTCAGATACAAGTCTATATCTTTTCGTCTTTCCTTTTAGACAAAAATGGTAATTAAATTTTAATCAATAAGAGTGATAGAAACTTCAGACTGTGGCCAGAGGAACTGAAGATGGTATAATGTCAGTTGTGGGGGACAGCACTCCCGTCTCTCCTCCACTTTCTCCTCCTCCCCCCCCCCTCATCCTCCTTACTTTTGTTCCATGTAGACAGGAGGGAGTAGATCTCTGATTTATTTCTCTCATCACTTTTTGTTGTTCATGAACTAACCTAAGGGTGCGTTTCATTGACTTTAAAGTAATTTCTGAAAAACACACGTGCTGACATTACAGGTATCTGGATCATTAACCATGCCAGTGCAGAGCAAGGAAATAATGTAACAGCAGAAAAGCCATTTGTTTACGGTGAAGGCCGAAGTGTTACCATTGCACACATGCCTACAAGTGGTGTACAGGATATTTATTTTCATTAACAGCTACCAGGAGATCCGGAAGTTAAAGAGAAGGCTGTTGATTAGAAAGGAGTATCAGGCCTGGATGTGTATTCTCCATTCTGTACCATTTTTTCCTGGAAAATGAAACAGCCAACTTATTCCCTAACTTCAAGAGAGAACTGTTCTTTCACTTTATTAGAGATTGTGCTAGTGACAGCGTGGGGAGGGGGAGAATGACAGGGAGTAAAGATGAATGGTGAGGAAAGAAGCTGATTTGGAAGACAAATCTATGGACAAAAGTTGAAAGAATTTATTGACTAAAAAAAAAGGCGGTCTTTTTATAATTCTTCTTTTATAGCAGAGGATGCTAAGTGTTTCTTGTGGGTAGGGGGGTACCATCATATAATGAATTAATATGAAGTAATGGGGTGGGGCAGAAGTAGGTTTACAGTTGTTCTTATGAAAAATAATGCAATAATTAATAAGGAATAATGTAAGAATAAACTCTGTGTTTTATGTACTTACAACTGTAAGCCCACTTTTAGCCCCTCTGTATATAACAAAGGAGGAAATAAATTTCACATTTAGATGATAAAATTAAAAATATAATAGATGAGTACAACTTTTTTTTAAATGCTCATCTATCAATAATGGAATTGTTTTTTTGTGAAAAATATTTTGCTTAATTGGGATTACACATTAGTGTCCTCTTTTCTCTTTTCAAATTGGTTATAAATCTTCCCCTATTCTGAGTTCACAGTCTATACAAAAACTGGTGCTGGACCCATTTAGTCCACGGCCACACCTTCCTGGCCTCTTTTATGACGCCTTTGCGAACACTGGGATCAGTATTCTCAGCATCTGTAAGGACTGCATTAGAGAGAATGAACACGGATGCCAGTGAGGGGATCGGTGTTGTAGATGGGACATCATGAACGAGCAGGCAAGGGCTGTGGGGGAGAAAATGTGGGGAATTAACTAACGCTTATGATCTTTAAATTCAGATAAGAAAGAAATCCCATAAAAAAAGTATGCTCTCCATGCTATATCCAGACAATCTTTATTTTCTTCCTAGAAGATGACTTTACAAGTGTCAGCTTTTATGTTTTTCTCCTCCATTATATAGTTTTAAAGCTTAGTTTGGGTAATACACAAAATAAATTTTATCTGTAACTAATGTCTGGACCTAAAAATGAACAAGCCATTTTCAGTTAAGGTCTATCAATTTCTGGGAAGAAAACACTGCATATGAATTTCCAATAAAGCAATGCAGTTACAAATACACTATCTGAATTTTTTCTTATTTCTCTTATTGTAGAGTAGAACTCCATTATAAGGCACCATAAGTTACTGTGAGCTGGCTTTTATTGCAGACAATTTTCTCCCTCTTGTACAGGGGTAGTTAATATTGACGAACGCATGTCACATAAACACCAGTGCTCTGGTTATCTCTCTAAAAGAAAAGCTCTAACTCTGATTAGAATAAGCCCGGCTCAATTGTGTTGGTGCTCTGGAAGTACCTCAATATCACAACTGTTCTGTTTATTGGCAGGAAGGAAAACGCAGCAGACACATATAATACTTGCATCAACGTAGAAACAATTTGAAAAAGAAGCTTAATTTTAGCAGAGCATTCAGCATAAGCTTGTATTTCTTCTCTGAGTCTTAGTGTTGTCTAGTTTGTATAGAATGCAATGTCTTTTCTCCTTCTAAAATGTATGCAATTTGGAATGTACATCGTAAAGCAAATAGCACCTTTCCTGCTTACTGTCTACCAGTGCTTTAGATTCAGCCCAGCTGTCTCTCCCTGTCCAGGAGACTCCTCTCAGCAGCCCCACAGCCCGGTCAGGGCACTGCCTTCCTGGTGCTCCCACAATGCCATGTACGGATTCCTGTCATTACATGTCTGCACTGTTTTATAAGTCTGTTTAGAAATCCATCTACCCACTTAGATTGTGGGCAACTTCAAAGTAGGGAATGCATCATCTCACTGCCCATTGCTTTGTCCTTGGTACCTAGCACAGTGCAAACATAGAGTTCATTGTGAGATTTTAAAGAGGCAAATGAATGGGTTCATTGAGGGCAACTGCACAGGTGGGGAGAAGGTTCCGTTTCACCGAGGGAGAGACTATCGCTATTTTTCAGGATAGTAACTGTTTTCCAAGAATGTCAGTGTAATGATGCCATGATTCTGGATACAGGGTAAGGATGAGCACCAGAGAAGACTAGGAAGAGAAAAGAGAGATGTCAAGAAGGAGAAACGGCCTTTATCAGAGAGGAGGAATAAAATATGGCCCATGGTTGCTAGACCCAGTTAGGGCCAACAGTGTGTGCTCTTTGCAATGTTGGTGCAGGGTTGACAAATCACTATAAACCTCCTTTCCTCTCTCCTTTCTTTCCTTTCTCCCTTCTTTCCTTCCTCCCTTTCTCCCTTCTTCCCTCCTTTTCTATTTATTGGTTGGTTGGTTTGTTCGTTCGTTCACTCACTCACTCACTCACTCACTCACTCATCCTTACCATTTTGTAATGCCATTTTGAAACTCCCTGCTTCTACTGAAAATAACCTAAGAAAAGCTCTGTTTGGCAATGCTTTGAGGAGACAGAACTCCTATTTCTACTCCTTCTCCCCTCCTCTCTATTTTGAGGGCCACTGGTAATGAGGTAAAGAAAAAGGGAGGGCTACATCACCTTTTCATTGCTGAAACCATGGCGATACTTTGGTTTTTTGTTTAAATGTGGATGATGAGGATGTGGGGGAGGGAAAGCTTTGCTTCTGGGGGAGCATTTTCCTTGGCCTTGAATACCAGAACAACCACAGATCCCTTCTCATGGCCAGAAGGCTCCTCTTACCATTTTGTGTGTGTGTGTGTGTGTGTGTGTGTGTGTGTTTTGGGGGGCGGGCAGGGGACAGGGGAACATGATTTAGCTTCTGTGAGGAGTCAAACAAGTCTTTGATGTTTTTTCTACACTCTTCTCCTGCCTCAAACTTCAGCCCCATCTCTGGGGCTGGGGAAGAGCTGCAGATGAGTGACATGTGGAGGAACTGCTCACTGCCTATCCCAGTCACAATTAGCAATAAGCCTAGAAGTGAGGGCTGTAGGTGGCCTGCTCGGGGCCCCAAGAAACATCTGGGGGAGACTCTGGGATGGTAAAGACGTGGACACGGCTGGTTTTTCATTCACCAAGTATCTAATCCTCATGGCAATTATTCAAGAACTATGTGTATGCACTCAAGATAACACGGTTTTCATTTTTTTAAGGCACCCATACTGATTAGAAAATGAGAAGAGTTATTAATTTTTTAATAGCAGTCCGTTTTTAAAACAAAGTAATATTTTTTTTCCAAGAGGCAATGAATGTGGTGATATGATGGAAGCGCTGACCCAGCAGGGAACATGTGCCTGCTCACTGTGGTTAGTAATCTACCCTGCTGCGTACATCTTAACATTTGGGGAGAAGATAAGCAAGTTCCTTTGTTTCTTGCAGTAGCCTTGTCTCTTCTCTTGCTACTGTCGGATGCAGGCAAATGTAGTTAATGTTCTGATACAGAGGGTAAACTTTCTAGTTTCAGAAAGAAACCGGATTGTTTCCCAGAGATTATAAACATGTTCCTGTACTTGTAAAGGAAGCACAAATAGAAGGAGGACTTCGTGTTTGATATTTTACGAAGTTCTTGGAAACCATCTGGATGGCACTGCGTTTGCAACCCCCAGACTAGAGAGAAGAGGGAGAGCATCCCTCCAGATTTAAACCAACTCCAATGGCAGGATGGAATACACCTTAGCAGGTTATAGTAATTACGCCTTGAGAATTACTTAGGCATTGTCTCACTACCATTTGTATATCATAACATTGTTTTGATTGTTGTGTAAACATACTTTTGTCATTTCTTATAAGAAAACCTAGCTTTAATAAACTAATAAGTGAACATGATAGGACTCATGAAGGTAATTACTGCAAACAACTGACATACTTACAATTGCATTTCTTCTGAACAAACCGAAGCTTGCATGCTGTTCTGTAGGTGGAGAGTCGGATTCGATCCAGCTCTTGAGCTCCTGGGGGGGGGGGGAGGGGAGGGCAGAAACGTACACATTTGGTATGCCATGTGCGTGGAAGAGAATTTGTAACATTTATAAAGAAAACAACTATACATATAACCCAGGCACTTGATTTGGTTGTGATTAGAACATAACTATAACTTGAAGACCTGAAAAGGTCTGTCCTGTACCCCTCAGGTGTGGGAAGAGAGCACATGTAATCAATGGTGAAGGTCAGGTTGCCAACCGTGTTCACCGGCCAGGACACCCAGCCTCGCCCCTGTGGAGGCTGCCATGAGGGGGCACAATCTGCTCGAGCCTGGACTTGAACAGCCAGATGCTATCATATAGCAACGTCATCATCATCATTTTCAATGCGCTGTCATTGGTCATCAGACCGAGGCTATGAGGTGAGCACATGCCGAATGTTCGGCATCTTTTCTGCTTGACCTGAGGCCAAATGCTTTTGGAAGTCCTCGTTCTCTCATCTGGAAGACAGGAATGGGGATCCCACTTCTGCTGACTCCATTCGTTGTCAGGGTAGAGGAATGACTCTGCCCCAAACACTGAGAACGCTGCCTGGCACACATGAGTGCTACCCAAGCATTCACTGCTGTCCCTAGCATCTCACCTGCAAGCTTCCCTGTCAACCTCGGAGGGGAAGCCTTTCTGAAAGCAACTTCCACTCTTCCACACTGGCTTCCCATCCCTTCCTGACAAAGAGGAGCATGCTCCTTCTGTTTCTGAGCTGCGTTCCCTACCCACTCCACTCAGGAATCCTGTGTGGCTTATGATGCCCACAGCACCCAGTCAGTCAGAATGCTCTGCTCAGAATCTAAGCTCCTCTGAAGCTCTTCCCATCCTGCCTTCCAACAAGAGTCCCCACTACTCTACTCCAGAACCTCCCCTTGCAGATGGCCGCTTGTTCCGCATCCTGCGTTTCCTCCAAACAGGTTCATCCTTAGACTGTGTCTGGGACACAGCAGACTTTCAACAAAGGTCAGTTCTCTGCTTCTAACTCGTTTGCTTCGTCGAAGCCCATGTTTATGGTTCATCAGGTACAAAGGCCCATACCTGGTTTTGACATGTGTTGAACTTTATCTGCATCAGTAAGAGTGCTCCATAGATGCTTCTGAATATAATAGGGTAGCAAGTAAATGAGCTGGCCCAAAAGTGATTATATTAGGTGACCAATTACGCGCTCTCTTAATGAAACTTGGGATGAATTAGCAAGTGTCCCTCGCTGAGAGTGTTTAGCATTCCTGCAACTCAAACTGATCTCTTTAGATTCATTTAAAAACACTCTCAATACTCCTAGTACTCCATGGTTTAATAAGGCATGTAATTAAATATTAATTCCAACAGAAGTTTATTACTTGACAAACAGGCTCATTGATACTGGATACTTGAAGGATCAAAGAGGCAAGGATTTATCTTCACCTAAATTCCCTTCCACATGTTCTCAAGAGGTAGTCATTTTATCCAATGGCCATGAAGGACTATTTGCAATGACAGGGATGATTATAACATAGTGAAAATAAATGGATTTGCTGTGGGAACTTGAACAAGTATTAAAAATTACTTCCTCATGTGTAAAATATCAATGTTATTGGCTGGTAACCTACGTAGCTGATCCCTAGTGAGAACTTTACAGCAAGTAGATGAGCCCCCTAAAAGGCTTCCAATGCCATTTCTGAGCAACAAGTGACAGAAATTTCTTTTTTTGCATTTGATTTTAACTTGCCTTTCCGTAGTTTCAATCCATTTGACCTAGTTTCCCTTCTGGAGCCAGTTAATCTTTACTCCTGGCACTTGAGAATTTATTTCTCAAACAATGGGAAGCCACTACCATGATCACTGTTAGCATCTTCATTACCATCTGAAGATCATACACAAAAGTCCCTGTTATCTCACAAGTGTAGGGTTTAACTGGGGAGGAAGCTTCGCCTTGATTTTTTAGATCCAGTAGATTCAACTGCATAGTCATTTGAAGCACAATGTCTATTATTGAGCATGACACACAATTGGCTTCAATACATGGAAGTGGCTATTGTTAGTCTCATTATCATCAGGCAAAGATTTGGGGCCCTAACCATTCTCAGCATCCTTTTCCATGACTGACTGATATCTCCTTGACACAAGATCTACAAAATTAACCCAACTTGTATAGAATATGGGAAGTAACTACTATCACCTTTAATAAGGACACTTACTAATGAAAGTTATTCTTGGGTTCTTTGGTAAGCTTTCTGAAATATATATTTTTAAACATATTTTACTAATTTTTTTACAGAGAGGAAGGGAGAGGGATATAGAACCAGAAACATCGATGAGAGAGAAACATCGACCAGCTGCCTCCTGCACACCCCCTACTGGGGATGTGCCCGCAACCAAGGTACATGCCCTTGACTGGAATTGAACCTGGGACCCTTGCGTCTGCAGGCTGGCTGACGCTCTATCCACTGAGCCACACTGGTTTCGGCCTTTCTGATATTTTTAAAAAATTATTTTCTCACTGGAATTTCATAGGGGCTCCCAGTTTCAAGTCCTCTACATCTGAGAGGCTCATAGATGTTGGATAACCAGGCAGAGTAATGATCAGAAATACCCAAATGCTAAATCTGCCTTTCCCCTGGATGAGGTGTTGTTTTATTGATGTGGACTTTGGCTCAACCATCAGGAAAGTCTCAATACCTGTAAATAATCCTTTAGAAGAAGTCATTAGGGACATAGATTATTTGTTAAGTTTTTCAAGAATAATGATTTAAGCCCCAGGGTAGAAAAGGATGATGATGTAGCACACAGTTAAATTTCTTAGTTCCAGCAAGATCTTGGCCTCTGAGCAGAGGAACCCTGCTTCACTGCACCACCCTCCCACAGAGGTCCAGGGGCAATGTGGGACAGGTGCACCCCTCCAGGAGCAGGAAGAGGGAAGGGGAGCTGATACTTAGGGACAGGAGTGCACTGACTGCTTACCTGCCCCATCACAACATGGAGTTAATGGGCCCTCTGTTTTATTTGAGAATCAGGAAGAGGTCTGGAGGTCTGTCAGTGTTTCCTATTTGTGTATGTTCTTCTTGGCTGAGGACGTAAGGCCTCAATATGAATACGGATGTGGTGAGCAAGGAACATTAGCCTTTCAGAGATAGCAGCATATTACCTTGCACAGACAACGTAAGTGGCAAACACAAGATCCATAATGAGTTCTGGGACCAAATAAACAACAACACACCTCAACACAAACCCACCCCTGATCTGACGTATGGTGTGCAGGCTCTTGCTCAAAATAAATGTATTTGTCTCTGCCCCACACACTTAATTCAAGTTTACATGTACAGTCTCTTCTTGAAAATCTGTAGATTCATGGTCTACCTGGGAGTAGCTGCATGTCTTCTGTGTCCAAAATATTGCTTAAAACCAAGGACCTGTCAGTGCCACAGAAGAGTCTCCTGGTACTTCTAGTGGACCCCCTCCAGGGTGACTTCCTATTACTTATCCTTTAGACATGGTCGTAACACTACCTGTACGTCTTCCTAATTGTACGGTGACCCAGCTCATGTTTCTCCAACACATGCACAACTGAGACTTTGTTAGTGCCTTGCTGAGATTAAGGTCCATTTTTAGCCTAGGATATTTTCCTGAGCTAACAGTCTAGTAGCCTTATTGAAAAGGGAAATTAGCTGACTTAATTCCTCTATAAAAAGAGATGGAATGTGAATAAATGAATAAGGAAGTAAAGTTAATAGAGCAATCCTTGTTCTGAGCATGTTGAAATGTCTGGGGTTACCACTATCTTTTGTTCCTGATTTGAACAGTGCCTAGCTGTTTGGTAGTTGTTCAAGGACAACATGAGTTTGAAAATACTGAAAACCAGAACCCTGGGCAGGGACATGGCTTTTTTTTTTTGTGATGGGCACTATTAATACAATTGATAGTGAGCCCACCTTAAGCTGCTCCATCAGTATAAGCTCTGACTGTGAGGAAGCAAGGCTGGAAGGGATGCTGTGTGTATATGCTGGCTGTTCTGAATAAACTGGTTCCTGAGACTATGAGGGGTGGTTCTGAAGGAATTCTTGGACACTTAGAGCCGAAATAACAATGATGAAACCTTGACAGAAAATCAAATTGTATACAAAAATAATTGGTCAAGAACAAAACTTTGGTAAAATCTGACTTCAGATGGCTGGGAAGATACTAAGAGAGACAGGAAAAGAGAAGTAGAGAGGTCAGAAAAGTGGAGGACTGGACCAGGGTGGTGGTGACATAAAAGAATAGTTGCAGGATAGTGACCCATGGTGCTAACATGGTGCTAACATTTTGAAGAGGTTGAAAAGCATGAGAGATAAAGAAGTAAAAATAGTCATTGCATCCACTGTGGCCTATGGTATAGCAACACTCATGTCATTCTCCTGAATTTTTAAAGTCAGTTTTCCTAAAACTCACAGTGTGCATTGCAAAAACATGCTCTGGGTTCCATTCCAACTATTTACCCGCTGACAGTGGTGAGCATTCTGAAGAAAGACAGCCTTCAGACAATTCAGCAGCGCTTGCTGAGTGCCTACAGTTACCTCCCTTTGATTTCTGGCTAAGACCTTTTTTCTCTTGTTAGGAAGCCTCCCAAGGTCTGAAAGAATGTTTTCCAATCAGTTTCCTCTCAATAAAACCCACCTATCCTGTGTCCTGGAGGCTTTTAAACCAACATTGGTTCAGCATCTAGGTGAATGGATTTGAAGGTAAACATCTGGGGTCTGTCCCTACGCAGGAGCTCATGGTGAGTGAAGTGGATATGCTCACAAGTAAATGTGCTGTGACAGCCCTAACCGTTTGGCTCAGTGGCCAGAGCATCAGCCTTTGGACTCTAAGGGTCCCAGGTTCGATTCCAGTCAGGGGCATGTACCTTGGTTGCAGGCACATATCCAGCGGGGAGTATGCAGGAGGCAGCTGATCAATGTTCCTCTCAACGATGTTTCTAACTCTATATCCCTCTCCCTTCCTCTCTGTAAAAAATCAATAAAATATATATTTAAATGTGCTCTGACAGCAGGAAAACAGAGAAAGTGAGTATAATTCCAATAAACTATTTATTCTGCTAAAATCCAGGTTGATAAATTTGTTTAAGCTGACAAACTTATTCAATGACTGGAAAGGCCAGTCTTTTCAGCTTTAGTCTAAGGCACTAGCTAAACTGATCATTAGGGCATTATTCCGAAGGTACATTTTGGTTTAAGGGCAACTTGCCCAGAATTTCTTTAATCAAGGAGGCGGCCATGGAGTTACTATTGTTGTGGTTTTGATACGTAAGGCTAGTCTTTTTTGTTGTTTTTGTGAGTCCATATTACTCTTAATTTCATTTCTTTGCCGTTTCTTTCTACTTTCTGCTGTGGTTATGAGCTCAGAGTAGATGTCTGATGCACGTATGCTGCAATCACCTGAGTGCCAGGATTTTTTATCAGTTGTTCTTCTTATTAATTGTTATTTTTCTGTTCTTGGCCTTTGTAAAGCCGGTATGCCTTAATGTTCCCCTCAGCTTGACTAAACGTTAGTCAGGCTTCTTCCTGACTCTAGGCCTCTGACCTCCCTTTTCTTAGAGCATTTTATGTAGAAAACTTTCCATTGTAAATTCTTTATCTGCCCCACTGAGACATAAATCTCCTGGTTTCTGGCCAGTTGGATAGCCTAGAAATATCCTTCCTAAGGACCTGGGAGCCATCCTTTTGAAATGTAATCACTGAAGGAGCTCTCCCAATCCCTGCCAGAGGGGAGGAACCCAACTTCCTAACTGTGACAATTAGCAAACACAATTGACCAACTTCTGCCCTAGCAGGTGTGGCTCAGTGGGTAGAGCATTAGCCCAAAGACTGAAGGGTCCCGGGTTTGATTCCCGTACTTCAGTTATAGTCTTGATACTGTTTCTCTGTCTCTCCCCCTCCACTCTCCCTGAATAATCAATAGAAAAATATCATTGGGTAAAGATTAACAACAACAACAACAACAAAATTAAAATAGTTGACAAACTTCCCCACTAATAACCTTTAGTACTTTTATATTAGCTCATTCCAGGCTCTCTCCCTTGTTGCAATAGTCTTAAATAAATTCTTCCTGGCCTTCTGAACTCCTCACATGCAATTTTTCTTTGACATTTGTAATTTCCCAAACAAAGATCTTTTAGGCACTTCTTTTGCTGTTTTTAAAAATTATGTCTAGATAATACTTAGTTGCTAGACTTCCAAGTTCCTCATCTTTGTTAGCTCCTTCTCTAGACATCAGAATTATTAGAAGTAGTGACTTTCCAATCTCCTTATCAGTTTTCTTTGATAATAGTGTTTTGTTTTTTTTTTTTGGTCTTTTTTTGGTGTCTTACTTATAGAGCTGAGGTGACCCACATATTTTTCAACTATTAAACACATTCTCAGTGAGACAACCTTTCCCATTTGTGTGATAGTCTACCTATCAAAATCAATTCCTCCAATTGTTTTATCTGGCAGAATCCTACTTATTGTGAACATGTCCTACTTGTTGATATAAACATGATGCTCACTAATGGATTGTTAAGACCAGAGGTGTTTATCTGTTTTGGGCCAACATCTGAGTCTATTATTTAGCATATTCAAGGAAGAAAGATGCATATTTGTATGATTTTTAAAACCACTCATTAATCAGTAGAACTCAGAATATGATTTAATAAAGCACATGACAACCCTAAGAAGTTTCTATAAAAGATAAAGCTACAATTTGGAAAATAAATGCACAATATTCCCAAGTCTCCCTAATTTGAAAAATTTAGAACTCTCTCTTTCTTTGGCTATAAAACTTATGCTGATCTTTCTTTGAGTTGGACAACTTTAACTCAAAAGTATGTGTGACATATGCATTTTTCTGTATGAGGTGCTGTACCAGGAATAAGGTATTTTTAAAATCATTAAATAATCACACATTTATAATTCTTACAGTGTCTTTGCCAATAAAGCATTTACTGTAACAATAAATTTAAACATTCCCCCTAAGACTTTACTGTTGTTGTTGTTTTTTGTTGTTAAATATTAAATTTTTAAAAATTTTGTGTCAAAACACTGGCCCATGATGTACCCGGCTCTTGCCTTTTTAGTCTAAGAACCTATGATATGAGAGGATATCTGTGCTGCCTGATATTTTGTTTAGATGGGCAGGCAGTAGTGCGGTTCTTTGCCCTGTTAGATTTGTATCAATAAGGTCATAAGTCCAGGTGACCAGCCATGCCAGAATGAAGACATAGTACCAAACATGGCCTAGCAAATTGGGAGGCCATGGTAGAAACGCTCACAGGCACTTCAGATATGTTTCTAAAAGTGGAAAAAGCAAGGAGCACGACTGAGATTCTCCATATCAATTTTAATTTTCTTTCCTTTGTGTTAGTTCCAACACTGTCCTGGTGTCACCCAATTATTGGGAAATGATAAAGGGAAATATGAATCTTATTATCCGGGACTTTCTTTTATCTGCTGTGACTCTCATTCTTGCCAATCAGTTCCAATCTTCAGTAGAAACTTAATTTTTGTCTACTGCCTTTTCAGGGAAAAAGGCTTACCACTCACTTCTGTTCATCCTCATTCCTTATGCGGGGAGAAAAGAGATAAAAAGACAATAAGAAGATTGTACTTTTCTCTTTATAACATTTCGTTTAAGATGTGTGCTTTCCTCCCAATGTCAGGTTCTTCCTCATGAATAGGAAACATGGTCTACAAGGGAAACATTACAGACTACAACCATATATATATATATATATATATATATATATATATATATATATATATATATATATATATATATATATATAAACAAATGGCCTCTATTTCATGGGTTCTCCACTGGAGTCAGTCTTGGCTTGGTTTTCCTCTATAGCAGGTACCCTTGGGGGCTCTTAAAAAAATTTTTTTAAAATTGATTTCAGAGATGAAGGGAGAGATAGAAACATCAGTGATGAGAATCATTGACCGGCTTCCTTCTGCACACCCCACACCAAGGATTGACCCTGAAACCCAGGCAGGTGCCCTGACCGGGAATTGAACCATGATCTCCTGGTTCAAAGATCGATGCTCAATTACTGAGCCACGCTGGCTGGGCGTGTGGGCTCTTTTTAACTTTTCATCTTCTTAGAGACTGGGACAGATCCTTCCCTACTGCATGAAGTCTAAATGACAACGTATAGTTTGGTCCAGTAATCACACAGGATTCCTCTTTCCCATAGGAACATAAGCCATCGTTCAGTAGATGAGACATTCAATGATTCATTTTGCAAATGTTATCAGTGCCTATAACATGCTGGACACTGACACAGTATAGACAGATGAACCCAGACTTTAAAGTTTAGTGGATCTGTTAAATGCCAACACTAAATAGTGTTTCCAAAGGGTTGTGTATATGTGTGTATATATACACTTAGGTCCATGAAACTTTTCCTTCATATAAAATACAGAGTGTAGTAACACATTGTGATAGTTCACTAATTTAACTTTTCCCTTATAGAAGGCAAAAATTCCCAGTTACATTTTATGCCAAGAAATTTGGGATTTTAAATAAAAGTACCCAAGTCAGAGAATTTCATGTATATTCAATGGACACTGTAGGGGCTTCCTTAAAAGTTCTGTACTTACTCATCTCTGCAAACAGCTGTCTTCTTTCTGCCATGGTATTTCCTCTTTTCCCACTATCTTCAATCATTCTACGAGACAAAATGGGTACAGTGGGTATTATCCTCCTGCTAATGAGGCCAACGGCCATTTCTACAGAAACACACTCGCCGTGGTTATGCCACAAACACAGAGACAAACTAACACTGTGTATTTCAAAAACATAGTTTTACTTTCACTAACTTAAATTGCTGTGCATATTTCTGCATATATAATGTTTCTATTTTTGACTTTTTATTTTCTAATACAAAAAATATCTATAACAGAAAATGATCTTGTGTTCTGACTAAATACAGTCCTATCCAGTCTGTTAGGTGATACACTTTTACGCATAGAGATTCTAATTTTGGGAATTCCTATGAAGAAGATCAAGCAGATAAAATGTATCTCATTCAACAAATGAGAGTCTTGTGAACTTTGTGAAGTGAATGGCATAGGCGTTTGGGCTCCGAGACCAGTATTCCTTTTACCACATTCTGCTGCAGATTGTCCCTGGTGTGCCCAGAATCTCCATTTAGAAACAGTTGATTTTCTAAATGTTCACCTCTAAGTTGAGTGTTTGGAACTTGCCACTGTTTTCCTGTGCATAATTTCATGTAAGGTGGTTAGGTTCACATCTCTCTACTTAAATAACCATACTATCTTTAAAAAATACTAGGAGTTAAAACAGGGAATGAAAAAAACTACAAAAAAAATTAAAATTTGACTTGAGGAAAGAGAAAATAATGAGAAAGTTAATGGAAATATTGTTTAGTCTGGCAGAAGGCTTGGGCTAAATATTAAGGATTTTACAGGTTGATGGAGGTGATTTTTAAAATTATATCTAATTAAACTTAAAAAATTAAAGTCTCACCTCTCATGTACACATACGCGTATACATTTATACTGATCCCATTATGCTTTGATTCTTGGGCATAGCAGATCATTGTGCCCGATTTTCCATGGATCCTGCTCCTTCTCAATATGGGTCTCTGTCCATCCTATTTATTATATTTATTTTTGATTTGGTTGCCCTCTTCCTGTGCTTAGGTAACTTGCAGTTACCTTTCAGGTGTCAATTTAGATGTATCTTCCTCTGAAATCCCTCCTAATTCTGTGATTGGCTGGGTTTATGCCGTTCCTCTGAGCCTTCATAGTCCTCAACGCTGAGCTTAACAAACCTTTATTGATATCTTCTATACTCCAGACACCGAACAAAGCTCTGGGTATAACACAGTATCAGGTCACAGCTCCTGCCCTCACTGTGCTTCCTCTCTGGCAGGGAACACCCAAACGCATATAAACAACAAATTCACAACGAGGTCATTAAAGCTGTAGAAGCAGCAAGAAAGGTATGTGACTTTCAGAGAAGTTGATTACCTTGGGGCTAAAGTGAACGGAACCACTTGCAAAAGACTGCTCAAAGGGTGAGGGTAGTAGTTTCTCTGAAAAGGGCATCAAAGGAGAAGTGACTCTGGTCAGTTTTAAAGGCCGAATAGGAATTTTCCAGGTAGAGAAGAGTGAAGGAAGGACTCGGGAAAAAGCATGGCACTTTGCAAAGTGTATGGGGTGCACTTGTCGATCGGGGCTAGCTTAGCATTGCTGGGTGCAGTGCGCATGGAGATGCTGGAGTGGTGAGCAGGCATGTGAGCCAGAGAACCGTGGTCATGTCCAGACAGTCAGAGCTTTGCTCAGGGGTGCCGGGAGCCATCCAAGGTGTGAGTAGGCGTTGATGTGCACAGATTTAGATTCTATCAAGATTACTGCACTTCGGTCACAGTAAAGAAAGTGCAAGAGAGACTGGGCCGGCAGGACGGTACATGATTACATGATTAAAGGGCCGGCCCAGTCAGCTGGACACTTCTGTGATGCGGGAGTGACAATATTCCGTTTTACGCTAAAGGACTGATTTGAGCGATTTAGGACATATTCAACAGCACGCACACGATGATTGGCAGGTCACAGGGAAGCACACGATGATTGGCAGGTCACAGGGAAGAGCAGAGAGGGCCTGAACCTTTTCCTCCCCACAGCATTTCACACAGAGTAGGAGAACGTCGGAGGCCCTCGTGGCGATAATGAGCTGGTAGGAGGTGAGGCTCCCTAAATTACCTGGCCCCAGCCTCATCGTTAAAACAGGGCTGCCAGCGAGACAGAGGAGTCCCCCTCTCTGCACTTGTGTTTGGGGGAGGGATGAAACGACAGAGTAGAACAGCGTGGGAATCAGCGAGATACAAAGAACGAGTCTAAATGTAGGTCACGGGCTGTTGGAATAAATGTGAGCTGTATTTTGGAACAGGGAGAATACACTCACGTTGAAATAGCCTATCCTGGAGCCACTTCCCTCCCACTTCCTTCCCATCTCTAACCCACCATCACTCACAGCATACATCCCTCTGACATGGCACAGAAGACATTTTAAAGGGAGGAGCTCACCCCAGTGGTGTCTTACATTTCTGTGGGTTTCCCCAGATTATAACGTACAAATCTGTGTTTGCCTGGAGCCTCGCGAGGAGGAAGGGGAGAGACTGAGGAACTTGAGACTCAGGCAGACAGCACGACCATAACACACACTGTATTCCCTGGCAGGGCTGGAAATGGAGTCCTTTCTATTTTTTGCTCTTAATTTTAAAATTCTGAAGCCAGCATGGATTCTAATCACCAGTCGTCGTGTTCCAGCTGCCACTGCTCAATACAAATAAGATCCTCCTGAAGCTGGTAACGCAGTTGGTAGACGCTGGCCACTCAGGCCAGCAGGAGAATGGGGAGGGAGGTCCAAGCTCTCTCAGATTCCCCCGAGCGATGCCTCTGTCTGATTCTGGGTGGATCCTCCTGTTTTAAAACACTGCTCCCCTGGAAATGGCCATGGTGAGTAAATAATCCCAGCACCCAGATTGATGTCACGCCAACTCGCACACCGATTCACACTCAGGGCCCATCCACACAGGCCGGCAGTGCTTCAGGGGTCCTCAAACTTTTTAAAGTGGGGACCAGATCACGGTCCCTCAGAGAGCTGGAAGGCCGGACTATATGAACTACTAATTCCTACTGTAACACCTCGGCTGCGCTCACTGCCCAAAAAACCTGGCGGGCCGGATCAGACTCCTCTGCGGGCCGCATGTGGCCCGCGGGCCGTAGTTTGAAGACGCCTGCTTAGAGCCTGCACTTCAGTGAACAGCTAGGACTCGCAGACCTTGTGTGCAGCGTGACGAGGCCATGCCCCGGCTTTCTGTTCCCCGTGTGGCTCCCAGCGGGTGACAAGGAGATGCTGGGTCAGCGATCGCCAATGCTGCCCACTCCCCGGAGGAGTGAATCTGCTCAGTGAAGGCAACACCCAGGGCCTCGCCTCCTCTTGTTGATCTGCACAGAAACGCCCGCTCCATTGCTGCTCATGAAAGAGGCCTCTGCTGTGACTTCCTCAGATTTACATCCAGTCCTGGTCTTCTTGGGCAATAGAATAAAAAGTGTTCTGCTCTCTTTCCCATAATGGCATTTGCTTCCACTTCCTCGTCCTTGATGGAAAGGAAGCAGAGGATGCTGCCTCTAAGATCAGTGGCTGTGATGCCTCTCTGCCTTTGCCTTTTGCTTGGAGAGTCATCTTCTCCTCTTGGAACTGGGCCCAGTTTTGGGGGGCCAGGGGCATGCGCACACTGTTTCAGTGTAACAACCAGCTGGATGTGGGAGGGACCTGATCTTCCCTGGACAATATCTGCTGTCGGCGGTGGCTGCCAGCACACCAGCCTGGAGAAAGGATCAAAATGCAAACAGCCGGTGCACTGGATCAGGGGTTGGAGCCCAGCAGAAGGGCCCGGAGTGGGGTGGATACCAGGTGATTGGGGACATGGGGAGAAAAGAGAGGGAGTAACTGTAATACTCTCAACAATAAAGATAGAAGTGTTTCTGATGCCCATCCAGGTTTGAGCTGGAAATATGATACTAGTTGAATTTGACCATGAAACTTAACTGTCCATTAAAGTTGTAATTTTTATTTTGCTTTATAATACATTTCTCTAGCTTGTAAGACCCACTATCAAATCTACTTTGAGCCAAAGGAGAAGGTAGTTGCTTCTTTGGGGAATGTGAATACACAGACATATATGCATACTTTAATATGGGTATCTAATGAGGTGAACTTTTAAGAAATAGAAAATGCCATTGAAAAGGAGAAAACCACCTTCCTTCTGAGAAGAGGTACTCTCAGTGGCACTTTCCCATAGGGAAGGAGCCTGCTGTTCTGGGGTAAGTGTGTGCGCCCGACGTTTAAGGACGTTCGGTTTTGTTTGTTTTGTTTGATTTCATTGAGCTTATGGGGGATGGCTCCTGCTCAAGAGCAGCTGGTAACCCACCCCTCTCCCCCTTCCTATTGGGAAGGCATGAAAGATGGCAGAGCAAGGTGGGAGCTGCTTGGCATGGGGAGAGTGGAGCTCTTGGAAGGAAGATGATCAAAACTGGAAGATGATCAAAACGGGGGACCCTGCCGAAAATCTTGATCAAAGGGCCCCCAAAGGCCCCAGGGTGATGGCCATAAGGAGGGGTGGTCTGTACTGCTGCCTCCAGCACTGCATTGGGACCCAAGTCTTTTTAGAGAATCATGTTTTTTCTATCCAATAGGGGTGCCTTTGGGAAAGTGTGTGTGTGTGCATGTGTGTGTGCGTGTGTGTGTGTGTACTTGCATCCGTATTTCTCAAGAGCAATAATATTGGGGTATAGGTCCTCTTGGTCAGGTAGAACTATGGCTGATCTTGCCACTGGGCAAGTCTTCCCTGCCCTCCCGCTGGGATTGCCCAGTTCTTTACTTTTGGGGGAGGATGTTAGGAAGTGACTGCTTTTCAATATTTTGGAACTTTCTTGGTTTAGTGTAAGATGTCACTGTTCACACACATAGGTTTATTCTTTTTCCTTGTTACGTATCTAACAAATGAAAAAAAGTAAGTGAAAAAAAGTCTCTAATTAGAAGACTATTTTTTTTTTTTACTAATCTTGCAATAATACAACCAAAACTTTTTAATTGAACTTTTGAGCCCCACTTATCTCATTACATTGAGATCATACT